AGTAAGAATAGACTTGGCACCCAGTTGTGTCTATCACCCCAAAACAGGCAAATTCATCGTTCTAAGCAGGCTGGCTGAGGGGCAAAAACATTACACACAGAGAGTGCCAATGGTACCACCTTCCCTAGCCTGTTTCTATTCGCTCCTCGTCCACCTTCCCCTGCCTGGAATGGTTTCCATTAATATACTTTGCTACAAATGCCACCACAGTGGCACTGGACATCGAAGAACATACCCCGCTCGGAGTAATTTGGGCTCAGTAGTGGTTGGAAATTGCATTTGGGGGGCAGCTGAAAAGGGCTGGGAAAACAGACTTTTCCTCTAAGCGATCTGTTTCCTGAGTTCATTCTGTGATTCCCTGGGAATGGCTGAAGGAAGCTTCTTGGTTTAGTTTAGTTCCCATTTGGGCTAATGGGAACTGAGGTATATTCTAACCCAAACTGGCCTTAAGGCCAGACAGCAGGCTGGTAAGTGGGCCTTAGGCAGCCATGTCGGTGGTTGCACTCAACAGAATCATCTGTTTTAAAGAATCACAAGTTTTTAAAAATAGATATGCCCGTGTGCACTTCCTAGAAGTATACATTGCTACCAACTTTTGTAGGGCCGTTTTATAACATCCAGAAAATTCAAAACATAAAAATTCTCTTTGGCAGGACATTTTAGCTTCTAGGAATTTACCCTCTAGAAATACTATGTAATCATGAAAAAGGAAGAGCGAGAGAGAGAGAGAATGCTAAAATACTTTTAAATGAAAAAGCAAGGAGCAACGCGGTACGTACAATGCAATACTACTGGGTTGAATTTTTTAAAGATTATTCACACATATATGGGAGAGAAAATTCTCAACATTTGTAGCTCTTAGAAAGGGAAGTGGAAACCTGAATTTTTTCTTTATGTACATCTACACTATTTAAACTTTTGCAGTCCTCATGTATTACTTCCGTGTTTAAAAAATACCCAATCCCGGGCCCACCCTGAAGATTTTGATTCTGTAGAGCATGCATATTTTTTAAACACACTACATGTGGTTTTGCGATGCCGCCAAAATCAAGAACCACTGGGCACTCTAGAGAGTTGTGGGCAAGGGTGACAAAAACGTGCTCTTGGACGATGCAGAAACAGGAACAAAAAGGAAGGGAAAAGAAAAAGAAGTGGGCTCCCCGAGCAAAGAGGTATTAAATGAGCTGAAAAAGGGGAAGATTAAATAAAAAGTAACCCAGATGACACCAATCCCCAAATCCTGCCCCAGATCACCTCATACACCCTTAGACAGAGATAATTATGAAAATCACTCCCTAGAGCTGGTTCACTGACACAGACTCTAAGTTACCACCTGGATAACTTAGGAGGTTGGAGAGGTGAGAACATCAGAACTTTGGGTTACCTGTTGAAAACAGGCTTGGACAAGGTTTTCCGGGAAGAGATTTCGAATAAGGTCGAGAAAGGCATCCAGGCTGGACACTTCATCATTCTTCTTCCCAGGCCCCAGCTGCTTCTTGAGTTTGGGGTTCCCTGGGTGGATAGCCAAGACCAGGATGACCCCCAGGACTGCGGCGATGATGGTCGTGGACATGTAATATACCATAGCTCTCGTGCCTAAGCGCCCACTGGCTTTAGCATCCAGGCCTGACAATCCTGGATTGAAAAGAAATCCAGAAGGATTAATTTACGTGATGTTTCTGTCAATTACTCATCTCTGCATACTTTTAACTTGGCTTCCTATTACTCAGATGCATTAATGGTTAAATAAACCTCCTACTAAATGTTTGGTCAATCCCATAGTTTGCAATTCTATTTTCCAAGGACATTTTTGAGATTCTAGAGCAGCTGTCCCCAGCTGTTTGGCACCAGGGACCGGTGCTTCTATGAGAATCTAATGCCTGATGATCTGTGGTGGAGCTGAGGCAGTGATGCTAATGCTGGGGAGAAGCCGCAAATACAGATGGCCGCTTACTTTCCTGCTGTTCACCTCCTGCTGTGTGGCCCGTTTCCTAACAAACCATGGACCAGTATTGGTAGCCCAGGGGATGGGGACCCCCATTCTAGAGAACTGGGGCAAGGTGGAGATCTCTGGTTCAGAGTTTTTAAACTGATCCATGACTACTTTTTGTTAGTTGCAATAGTGAGTTAAAATAAAGTTGAGTAAATTCAAGTTTTTAATTCTGAGATTATGTCCTTCCCACTTATTTGGCGTGGAAATATCCTTTCTTTTAGAAAGTGATGGTACTGATACATGCTATTTTTTTTTTTTTGTACTTTTTTCATTGTTATTGTTGTTTTTAATATCCTCACTTTGGAAGATAAGAAGCTGGTAGCCCTAGGTCGAGTCTCAAAACTTTTGAATATATTACTGGTCATTGAAATCGAGTCTGCAATAATGATCTAACACATCCCTCACATATCTGCCGACCTCCCATAGGGCTTGAAGAACACATGCATTAACAGCACCCAGAAAAGGTGGGTACTTCATCTATAGTGTGGGAGGTTCTGTGATTGTTAGAGGAAATTCCAAGCAAGTCACAAAAACTCCAGCTTTCATTGGGTTTTTTTCCAGTTGTTTCATTGGTTTCTCTACTTCCTGGTTTCGGTTCCTGCTTTCATTAGCGAGATTACACTCCTTTTTGGGGGGTGTGGGGGAGGAAGTCATTGATGCTAACTTTTCTGACTTAAGCTGACCCATCTCTGACCTACTTCTCCTTACAAACTAAAGTCTGATTCTAGTCAACGGAAGCTGGGATCCCTTACCAGGTTGGCCAGTGCACAATCTGTTAAATGGGCATGGAGAACATTTTCTCTGGTTTGGAACAGAGCGTTTAAGGTGAAAGCACAGCTCCACTCCATCTGGGGCTGAATGATAAGGCTTTCCTGACACTGAGTCCCAGTGTTTCCAGTCACAGCTATGAGACTGCAGAACAACCCGGTTTAGCATTTGAATCTCTTGGAATTACCAGAGCCTCACTCCCTTCATAAGGTGGACAGTCCAGGGGGACAACTTTCTCAAGGTCATCCATCTCGTTAGCACCCAAATGTAGACTGAAGCCCAGCTTCTTACTCTTAACTCAGAGATTAGTCTCTAAACTACAATTTATACCTTGTTCCAAAAATATCATGTGGTAAGGAGGAAACTACAAGTATGAGTCCACGGAGGGAAAAATAATCTTTTACATAAAACAATTCTTTCCGCCAAAAACAAGTGAGCATGATCTGCACATTAAAGGTAACTTTCTTCTGAAAAAGTCAAAGCGCTTTCTTATCTAGTATTTCATTTATTTTTAATACTTTCCTCTACGCCCACTTAAATAGTAAAGAAAAAATTTCCTTTTCTATTTATTACCTGTATCGATTTCTCAACAAACTATAATTTAGAAAATGAGAAAAGTATACATTTAAAAGTAAAAACTAAAATTACTACAGAGACCATCATCTTTAAATATAAGGCTGTTTCCTGTTTATTTCTTATTGCTACACAGACAGATGAACTGACCAATAGATGGAAAACTTCTTTTTTTTTTTTTTAGGGTTGATTATCCCTGTTTTGGAGACAGGAAAACCAAGGCTCTGAAAGTGAAATGACACAAATGATCGCATTCATTCCTTCAACCAAATTGAGATTCTATGGTCAGTCCAAAGCTGGAGCAAGAGTATGACCCACTTTGGCACCAGAAAGGTGGTCTTACCTGTGATTAAACTGGAGATGATTAGAGGGAGAATGAGCATTTTCAGCATCCTCATGAGTATATCCCCTGGGAAGGCTATTAACATAACCACATCAGGGTGGATAGGAGATGCCAAGCGAAGAAGCCCTCCACATACTGCCCCAAGGATGACACCTATAAAGAAAAGGGGGACAAATCTGGATTTATTTTTTGCCTTAGCTCTAGGGACTTGTTTCAGGGACCTTTCTCATACTTCTCTATTATCAGATGATGAACTACATGTAACAAAAATACCATTAGATAAGTGAAGGTGATGTTAATGACTAGTAAGAGAATATTTTGTAAGTGAAGCTGATGTTGATGACTGGTAAGAGAATATTTTTGTACTTCCAACTATTCTAAAAGGCAGCACTGGAAGAGTCAAGTAGAGCCTTCTCAAGGCCTTGCGGGAAATATGACGTGGTGACTAGACTCCAACTTTTTTGAGGCCATTGTCCACATGTAGAGTCAGAGATGGTCAGTAGATATAATCCACAGTGCCAGACATTACTTCTCCTCTCAGCCTAGGCCTGGCCACATGCATGGTGTTTAACGTATTTCTTCCCTTTTTAACTGGATACCAGATAAAAGAAACATTTAATTGACCAAACTGGTGCGAGTTTCCTTTTTTCTTCTGTTTTCTTTGGTTTCCATTAATTTCCCCAGGACTTACCCTCAAGAAGTTTTGTCCTTGACTTCTATATCCTTCTATATAATCTTTAGACTTGTTGATCTTATTGGAGATAAGGGTGGTCTCTAAAAATATATAATTTGGGAGGAAACAACTTGGGTATAGATACTGGCAGGAGACTTTCACTTTGCATACTCAGGGATTCCACAATAAAAACTGCAGATCTCTCCAAACAGGGATTCCACAATAAAAACTGCAGATCTCTCCAACATAAATAATCCTGGTGAAAACCACAAATCAGGTCATAGCCCCACTGGTTGTAAGAGAGGGAGGGAATTCCCAGGTCTGTGGGCTATAGTGTTAACTCCACGGATGCAAAGAAAGTAATGTGGCCAAAGGCTTGATCTTCTCTTTTTTCTACAAGTGAAAAATATACTTCTTCAAGACCCATGATGAATGAAATGTGCTTATGTGGAGGGTAACCCTTGGAAAACCTTACCATGCCTGTGGTTTCCTTTTATCAAGAGAACTGAACTGTGGCAAGGTCCCAGGGCTGACTCTGGTCTACTGACATCCAAGATGACTGACTCAAAGCAGAAGCCATGGAATGAAGGGTGTGGGCATGTGTGTGGGGAGTGGGCGAGTAGGTGGGGAGATGAGCTGAGCTGTTCATTGCTTCTGTGTGTAGCCTAAGTGAGAGCTGAAGAACAAGGGACAGATCGTGAAAGAAAGTGGTGTGGTTATTATTGCAAGAAAGTGCAATTTGCCCCCATTTTTAAAACCTGGTTGAAAACCGAAGACCAAGATTTTATCGACAATCACACGAAAGGACCACGATGCCCTGGGTGAGGCCTGAAGCAGGGCAATAAGACTTTTGAGATAGACCAAGAGCAGATCAAAGCATCAGGACAAGCCTCTCCCATACTGACCTCATTAGCTAATGAACGAAATTAATCTAAGTTAATGAAATGTTCAGAGAAAGTTAAACCTTGGGAGCTGTCTTAATGGGGTTTTCTGAAACAATTGCCTTTATCTTGATGCAGGTATTTCTCTAAATGTGGTACACTGACCACCTCCTTTGGAATTACCTAGAAGATTTGTTAAGATGCAGATTCCAGGACCTCACTCCAGGTGGCCCAAAGCAAAGTCTCCACAAGTAGGTAGCCCTGGGAATCTGCATGCTGGCACACTCAAGGGCAATGTCTATGCCCACTGAAATTTGAGAACCATTAGAATCCTAAGGAGGAAAACAAATGGCTAGGGCACATGATGGGGAAGATTATATCATTGAGGCAGCCAGGCCTGGGTAAATGGGACCTTAGGCTGGGCACGTGGGAGAGCTGGCTGCCTGAACCAGCTTCCTCACAGAACCAGGAGAGACTCAGAGAAGAGGGGTGGATGGGGAGGCACCTGTCACCTACCAAACACCGTCAGAGTGAGCAGGAGATTCTTCCCCAGCTTGTCACACAACCGCAGCCCCAAATGTCGGTGCTTCGGCTCCTCTGAGCTGAGGTGACTGTCATGCATTCGCACTTCGACCTGCTTGGGCATGTTGTTGGCACTGAAAGAAAGTGAAGGCCATGGTTAGAGACCTCTGCGCACCTCCCCTATCCTGTTTGAGGGGCTCAGGTCATAGGAGGAGAAAAAGGCCTTCCCCGGGCACAGCTGGGAATCTGGAAACATTGGCAAGAAAATAAAAATTAAAAAAGTAACTCAGGTTACCCAGAATGCCAGTTCACCTATAAGCAAAGCACTAGGACACACCAAGTAGCTACATGCCAGGTGCTTTTGTGCCTAATATCTTGGATCATCACAGTAAATAATAGAAAGGCCACAGGCAGTGGTAGGTTTCTCCAAGAGTTGCCTGCCCCATAACTCTCAGAGGCAAGTAAAGTAAGTGTCCCTGCCCCACTTGGCAGAAAGTAACTTGTCTGGGGTCACAAGGCTAAAAGGAATGGAGATCAAATCCAGATATACCTGGCTCCAAAACCTGAGCTCTATCATTCCCTAACAACAGCAAAAGGGTGACTGTGAATAACTAAGTCATCCTAAATTAAAATTCCTCCTCTGAGACCCTATTCCTGGACACAGAAAAGTTATAAATAGTGGTAGTCCACACTTTGTCTTTCTTTCAGAAAAGCCGGTTTATCAATTTTTTAAAAAATTTAATATTTTATGGTTTTTAAAAGATCACTTGCATTATCAGGACTCTGCTAAGCTGCCCAAGAGCCAATGCCACTCGGTGCTAAAGAAGGATGGTCTTAAGAAGCACTTGATCATCTTCGTCCCCGGACACAGCTCAGCCCTTTCCCAGATACACCCCATGTGATCCCAAGCTGTGTTGAGAGTCTGCAGTGGAGCCATTGCCAAGATAACGAGCATACTGCCTCTTTTATCAGCTTTGTCATTTCCCAGGCCAATAAGATTTCAGATTTAAAATTTGATGACATAAGATTGACATAGGAAGGCCAAATTTTCACTTTGATGATTGACGTAGGATTGATATAGAAAGGCCAACTTAGGATACTTTTGTTAGCTGCCATGCGCAATCACCATCAAGTGATGAAAGAAAAAATAGTTTTTAACATCTAGAAAGACAGGCCACAGTATTTGAATAAATGACAGCGCCTTCTAAGACAGGGGTAATAGCCTTACCCAGATGTTCTCACCACAGAACTGGAGAAAACATTCTTTAGAACCAACACCGATCTGCAGACCAGTGGTTTGGAATCATTGGTTATAATTGAAATAGCATGGGTTTTAGAGTCAGAGAACCTGGGTTTCAGATCCTGACTCCATCATCTGCTAGCTGCGTGGTATGTAGAAAGAAGGGCTTGATGCTTATATTGTAGAATGGAAATATGATCACATATGGTAGTGGCCTGGCATGGCACCCAACACAGTTAGTTCCTTTCTCTAAAGAATATGAAGAGACATGCAATACCCATCAAGTTCATGACAAGGGTAAAATTTAACTCAGAGGATCTACTCAGGCGCACCACCATTCCAACAAAATGCCACGCTTAGCTCCAGTCTCAGAATTAAGGCCAGAGACCCAAAATCAACTGCATACTTCCTTTTTCATAACAGGATGTTTAATATACTTGGTACTAAAATGCTTTAAAATCGGAAATAATGTTGCATGGCCTGGTAGAATACCCAGATGAAATTATTAGCCAAAATAGAAGTTTCTTAATCTCCCCTTAATGGCCTAATTTTCTACTCGCTTGTTAGTTTCGGGGCAACCCCTGGCTATCTAATCTATGTGTGTGTTAGTGATCACTCAGACAGTCTAAAAAAGAAAATAGGGCATGACTGCTCACAGCAAGCAGATGAGGGCCTTTCTGATCAGTGAGCAATAAACGCCACTTCCTCCCATCACCGAGTGAAACAGACAGAAGAGTTCTTTTTACAACACATCAGGGGGAAGAGATCAAAACGATCTTTTCAACATGTATAGACCATATTTCTAAATTTGCATTGAGACCTTTTTATATTTTTTAACATTTCTCCAGCCAGTAATCTGAAGCTCCGAACTAGAAAATGACCAGCGAAGAATGGAGGTCATATGTCTTCTGAAATTATGAATGTATTCTTGACAAAACTCTACAATCCCCTTGAGATGGTCATCCCTTGCCTCGTGTTTCATTTGAATCCTTCCTGCCATTGAAGTTAGGACTGGGCACATGGTTAGCATTTAAGTGAGACTGACAAGTATTTAAAGCAAACATTCTGGCAAGATCCATATGACGTAATCAGAGTGTCGGGCATCGAAACAGCCATGTTGAAGTGAAAACACACAAATGTTAGGTTAACATACACACCCAATCCAGCAGTGTGGATGAATGCCTGTAGCACACGATGCTTAGTTGCACTAAATTGCTGCATACGTAGTATTTCGTTTTTTCAGACCATGACAAAATGTCCCTGAAGCCCTGAGTCAAAACAGCCACATTAAAGTGGCAGTATCAAAATGTCATGAACCCACAAGTATTTATTGAGAGAATTCCTGTGACTTTCCCTCTTGGAATTACACAAATACTCCAGACTCATAGGAGTTCCTGACATCTGCACATAGAAAATAATTTTAAAGTACATCAAGGCCTCAGCTTGCATCTAGGGACACAAGGAGTCCCCTTCGTAAAGACTCTATGCCACTGAGTGATCACTGCACCCAAGAACACCAAGAGAGCCTGAACTGGGGAATATTATAAAATATAATGTTGTATAATAATATATAACTTAATATTGAACCACTTTTAAGCCTTATTTACCTTCAGTAATGAGTAAGGTGTAATTCTTACTCTTAAGGAGCTCTTAAGAGAAAACAGAAAGTACAATTGTACTGTACTTAGCTGCTTTACGCATGGGCTATGATAAAGCTCTGTCCAGGATGCTATGGGAAATAGTAAGAACAGAGCCTAACCTAGCTTTGAGGGAGAAGGGTGTTCAAGAAAGACCCCCAGGGGGCGCTGATGCCAGAGTTGGATCTTAAAGGATGGATTTATTTTAAGTGTCTACATCCTCCACCAGTCTGTGAACCCTAGAAGAGCAGGACTATGATCTTTCACACAGGACTATCAAGCACTGGTACCAAGTGCTTGATAAATGTTTGCTCAAAGAAATTAAGAATTGGAAAGCAGCTATAAAGAACCTTCTCCTGGGAATGAGGCCCTTCTGCAGTAGACTGGCAGTATACCACTTCGGCAAGCCTCTTACCATTCTTGCATTTGCTCTACAAATTTCTACTGGGCACACATTACAGGCCCCGTGATGTTCAAGGTGCTAAAGATATCACAACAAACAAAACAGACAAAGCCCTTGCTCTCATGGGATGTACATTTTAGTGGGAAGACAAATATGAATAAATAAACTTCAAGTGGAGACACGTGCTAGCAGGAGGGTGATTTGTGGGATGAAGGCAGAGCTATTTTGTCACAGGTGGCCAGGGAAGGCTTCTGTGATAAGGAGGTATTCGAGTAAAACCCTAGAGGGAATGAGGGGTCTCCTAAATTAATTATGAAATGTGTCCAGAGTTTAGCAAATAAGTGGAATATATACATTTTGGAAATCTTTATATCAAACTAGAGTCTAAAGCTCCCACCAGATATTACTCCTGGTGTCCACATGTTGGTTTTTAGCTCAGGCAGTGATTCAAATAAATGTCAACTTAGTAATGCTGGGTCCTATTACCACCACGAATAGGACAGAGTTCCGACAACTGTCTCAGCTCCCAGCAAGAGGAAAATGGTCCCAGAGAGCCATGCGTTGAACACAGGCAGGTCCAAGGTCACAGTAGCCTGCAGTTTGCTTCCCTGGCATTAAGCAGAAAGGGCAGGAACTGGTCTGGGGAGGCCCAGCAGATAAACTCAGTAAGTTATTTCAAGTGAGCACACTCACCCCTTCTTAACACTCCCTTCCTTCCATCTGTGGTTGTGCAGACAGATCCGAACACCAAGAAATTTGAAATCCCAGGTGTGGCTTAGTTATACCAAATCCACTGAGCCTGATGCTTTCCAACACTGTTGATGGCCTCTGTTTCTATCTGAATGCCTTTTGGATGGAAGATTTAGCAATGCAATTCCTTAATATAGGAAGTTTCTGTAAGCCAACACTGTTGGATCCTCTCCATTGTCCAACAAAGTAAGTCCACGTGATGAGACAGCTGTTTGGATAATTAAAAACTTGAACAATGAGGCTATAATTTCCTTCAGCCTTAACTTCTCCACTGAATTATTTAAACAGCTGTTAATTTTACAGTCGCTGCCCGTTCTTTCTCACGCAAATCCGCGAGTCTTGCTTCAACGACAAGTTTGAAACATTCTCTGTGACTCAAAAGGGAACATGTAATGGAGCTGGTGCTAAGTTTTAAATTATTCTCAGAACCTGCTTTTCATTAGCATTCAATTTCCCTCACTCTGCCAAAAGCCTCTAATAATAGGCTCATTAGATGTGGTGTTGGATTCAGATTTCCTGCCTGCACACTTCAGTGTCACCTTAACTGGCACCAAATTCTTTTTTCCGTCTTCACTCATTCAGTGAGGTGGTAACAGAACATTCCCTGGGGAACCTAAAAGCAACTGGCGTGTTTTTGCATGAAGGATGTGAGGTCTGCAACAGGCATCACTCATCCGGACTCTATGCCCACGTCCAAGGACTCGGGGAGACATAAGGGAGACAGTGTCCAGAGATTGCCCACATGCAGGATACTAGGTCAGACCCTCGAGCAAAAGTTATGTTTGTTGAGGGGGCTTTCCCATAAGGTGGTTGGCGTGTTTGGGAAAGAATGCTGGAAATACCAGTAGCGTCAGCTCTGAACACTGGGCACCATGGAGTGGTGATTACAGCTGTGACTGATCCACATCCAGGATCTCCCCAGCTCCCTAAAGGATGCCACCCCTGTTGTAAAAGGGACCGGAACTTGAAGACAGCTGGGCATTTCCAACAGCCCAGCAGGCCCTCCACCCTTGCCGGATCCTGCAAGACCTGGTTTGACCATGTCAAGGATACTCACTGACCAGAAGTCAGTATCTCTCTCTGATAGGTACTGTGTCCTCACAG